TTCTGCGTCAGGGAACTCTGCACGAATCCTTAGCACCACGCAGGCAGGCAGCACAACTCTCACTCTCCGCCCCAGAAAGCCCCAGCACCAGCTTACAAAGCTTCTGTAGGCTAGGTATCTATATTGGCTGGACACAATTCAATAGAAAGTCAGCACTGAATGTTCACATCCATGGCAACTGGCAAGTTCAACTGTTCCACTTCAGATATTTATTTTGTATGTTTACAAATGTTTCTTGCAATAAAACATCTTTACTAACTGTTCTGTGTGTTTTCATTGTTTGATATGTAGTTGTGTTACCATGTTACCAAGTAAAAAATAGTAAAGATAAACTATAAGCAATGTAAGATAGGGAAAGCAGTTATGTACTTTTCATCATAACACTTTTGCAATAAATTAATAGTATTTATAGGACTAAAAGCTTACTGCACTATTCCCCTCAGACGTAAAGGTCCATAGTCTGCCCGATAAATGTTCAGTGCATTCTGCAGTGAAAATACATTCAGGCAGACAGGTTCTAGGCCAGGATGGTCCACCATGCATGATGGTGGCTCAGGAAGCTGCTGTAGTCTTCGTGTAACCTAGAAATTATGAAAGGTAAGTGAGTGACAATGGATAACAGAAAAGAGAGACTGTAAAATGACAACCATGTTTGCCCAGTGTTCACACTTGTGGTATTTCCATACAGCAGATATTCTCGGGCTCGGTAGGCATTTGTTCACAATTGCCACAGGAACACCTGTTTTTAAACAGAATTTGTGTTATTCATTGGAAACTACATAGCTAATCAATCACGTCGCGTTGTTTCTTTTGTAATATTTATTTAAAGTTTATAAACTGTTGGAACCGGTTCAAAAACAATACTGCTGGTAGAGAGGTGATGGGAGGCAACTGGCTCATTGAAAACTACAGTTGTTGAAAATTGTGGCAGTAGCTATTTACAGGTTGTCACTGCAAATAAGAGCAGGTTCTTAACAGACTTACCTGGCTACATAAAGGTAAATTAAAATAAATAAATAATATGGGGTTATGCTTTTCTCTAGTATGGGCGAGTGCTCAATTGCATCCGCGTTACTGCAACTTAACAGCAGTAAACGCCAGCCGAGGTTTGGCGAAGATTTATGATGTAAACACTCAGGAGAAGGGGGTTGTGATCTGTAACAACATGGGAATACGGCCACTAAGCCAGTAAAACTTTCGTTAGTCTATGCAGTAACATAAAAGTAATGTCGAGGTAACAAACTTAACTACTAACCACTGAGAAACATCCATGTTCATTCTTGGCTGCTGACTTTCTTCTGGAGCGTCTTGTTGTTCAGGGTCGGACTCCGGCTCGAACATGTACGGTTGCACCGCAGTCTGTTGTCCGGCAGCCATTTCTTTCACAAACTCAGCCGTTGCCATGGTCACACGGTGCCGGCCTCACGTCTTCCACAGGCAGGAAAAGGTGGGCAGCGCAAATACCGTCTCTGGGTGGCGCACGCAGTAGCTCATTAGCATTTAAAGGGAAAGGCACTGAAACCGGCCATCTGGAGCAGGGCTGTGAAACTGGTGTTTCAAGAACCCTGCTGTGCTCAATCCTTCAGCTTTTTCGACCAAAGCACGTTACTAACGTACCATTTAGACATCAGGGAACCTTGTCAGAAAGCAGAAATGAGCATAATATGTCACCTTTAACTACTTTCATATTGTACATTTTTAACCTTACTGTGAGCTGGTTCCTAAATTTTGCACCTTACTGTTATCTAGTTTAGTGTGAGTTTAGTTTGTAATATTTTGTTTTTATATTTGCTATGCATTGCTTTTCTATTTTGTTATGGCAGACCTCTTACACTGCATGCTTTGTACCTGCACTCATCTAATTTTGTATTGCAACTAACTGCACAGCAGTTTCACTCGGTATAAATAAAGTTCTGTCTTATTTTTTTTGTTTGTTTTATCTTATTTTAGTGACACAACGTTAACTAGTACAACAGCTTTCTGATTTTGGTAAACGTCTACAGCAAGGCACAATGTTGGTGGACTGCAGCTGAATATAACAAAGGAGATGGTGGTGAAACTACTTGCAATTAAATTTTTGCTAGATAATCCCACCATAACTGACCAGAATGCCATTAGAAAGTTCTGCAATAAAAACATCATTGTTGGCAGTCTGTACTGTTTTACATGCTCCACAGTCATTACATTACAATTTTGCAAACTTAACAAAAGGTGGTGGAACTTCGGGTTTGCAAAACGTGAAACTCACAAGTGCCTTTTCGCCATTTCAACAAGAATTAGACTTTATCAGTAACCTTGCATGTATGTTAACCGTGATAAAGTTGTATGTAGGTTCAAACGTTAGATACACGTTAGCAAGCCACGCGTCTACTGACACGAAGGCAATTATTTGGCTAACGTTAACTAACGTTGGTTGGTTAGCTTTAGCCAAACACACTGTACCACGTATCAAAAATGAGTGAAAGTCACATATTTAGTCACGGTACCTTGGAGAAGCTTTGAAAAATACGGGAAAGCGGTTGAAACTGCTAGCTCTCCTCATTGTTGTTAGCCAACGGCAAACCAGTGTCAGTTACACGCCAATTACATTATAAAGATAGCGCATTTCCGGTTTGGGTTAACAAAATAAAAGTAACCTTACGAAGTAGTTGGTGTCCATTACATTAAGCGTATTTCTAATCGAACATGCAATCCTTGTGTACTAACCGTAAACTGCTGCCCCACCTTGTACACGACTTTTAAACTACGTAAGGTGCATTACTTATTTCAACAGATGGCACTTCTGCTTTATTTTGAAGGATAAATGTCACACTTCTGGTATCTCTCTTGTTAAATGCCATTAGCTTAAATGCAGCTAGCCTGAAGCTAGAGCCAAATGGGCGACAGCATGGGCTGCTGTGGCTTCACAATGCATGATGGGGTCGGTGTGGTCGGTGTTATTATATATCTATGGTCGGATGGGGGAGAAAGCTGATGATACATCCGTGGTTCATAGACCTTTAAACAATTAGAGGAAGTATCTACCGCCATCTGCTGAACCGGAGCTTCACAGCTACATTAAGAAAATGACATCAGAAAATATCACCTTATAATGGATAATGCACTTGTAATTTTACCATCTACATGACTGCAATAATTAAATAAGTATATATCATATATAGTATACATGGTACATCTATCTATCTATCTATCTATCTATTAAATTAAGGCAAAAAACAGGCTAAAAGAGAGCATCCTTCTTAAGGGTTTGGTTCAACTGCATCTACAATTATGTAAAACCCCTTCATTATTTCAGACATTTTCTTTGGCGTAACAATTAACAAACATCTAGCGAATATGTTAAAATGATAAAAGGGACTACCTACCAAACATTAACACTCGCAAGCTTTTTTTTTTTTTTTAAAAAGTGTTAAGCTCTTTGATATGGCCTACTGTACATAAATGTATGCCTCACCTACCCTCTGCTTCCTCCTCATTCATGTTGAACAAGTCAGGGCAAAGTACTGGGCACAGTCGGTTTGTATATATAACCTGTGACGTCATCATGCAGACAGATAACGCATTTATTTTTTCAGTGTGGAATAACAATGAAGTTTGGGTCTGATTTAAGTTCTCATGCTTTCAGCACTACTTCACTCATTGATTTACTCTAAAATATATAATCTGTAACTATGATGATCTTGGCGAGTTTCTGAACTATGTTGTTAACTTCTTTATTTTAATAAATTCTTCATTCATAAACAAAAGTTTTGGTAATTTTTTTTAATAATTAGTAATACTTTTAGAATATTAGCAAAAATATTTGATGAAACCCCTGACGTGAAATGAACTGGGATTTTTGTTTGTTTGTTTTGTTGTTTCTTATCTCCATTCTTACTTTATTTATTATTTGTTTATCTGTCATTGCAGTTTGTTTTCAGCTCTCATGTATTGTTGTCTTCGTTTTATACCTGACGTTTTTTTTGTACATTGTATGGTTAGATAAAATTTCCTTAAAAAAGTATTTTCATTATTTTTAAATACATAAACACTGAACACTAAAATATTTTGATAGAAAAACAAAACCATTTCTATAAAGTCCATCAATTATGAAAGACCACTGTGTTTTTCAAATATGTAATGTAAAATACATTTATCAGAATTACAGCCTATCACTGGCCATGCCCGTAGTCTTTAAATAAAATGCATGCACAAAAGCATTTTAATTTTATTTCTGATGTTTCCATTAAATAGTATATATTTTTAATATAAGAATAATAGTAATACTACTACTACTAATCCCTACAGTGTGTTCTAGGTCTTATTATTCTTATTAGCATTCTTCTTCTTATATAATAATAATAATAATAATAATAATAATAATAATAATTCAGATCCCCATTAGCTTCGACAAAGTGGTCACTAGTCTTCCTGGGGTCCACTCACAAAACAACATTAAAAGTACATCAATTTAAAATCCCACAATATCAATGAGACAATAGAATTCAATATCAACCCAAAATTAGGACAAAAACAGAGTAAGAAAAACAAAATTGTCACAAACTCACTGCACAACATCATAAAATAAAATAAAATTCACAAAAATGTTCCAGATTATTATTACTATTATCACTAATACGATTATTACTATTATTACTATTACTATTATTATTATTATTATTATTATTATTATTATTATTACTGGTGACTTTAACTTCTACCAAAGTCATTTTCTGGTAAAAATATCTGTACTTATACTCGAGTGTTGCTTTCAGGTGCTCCATCCACTGTTAAAAACAAGAAACAAGCCTATAAAGACGTCAGTTGCGCAAACCCCGTTGCACCTTATATTTCCTAGGGTACTTGAATGCAGCAAAAGCCCTCAACATTTTGTAAACACGCTGAACGTTCTTTCGTCGTCTACGCATACGGCGTACGGGGGAGCGTCACTCAATGCGCGGACGAGCAATTTCGAGCGTACATTCTACGGAAATACCGAAAAGGCGGCGCTACGACGCTTCTACTTCGCAGTGCGGGTACGCGGAGATGTCGGCGGGGAGGATCTAGCTACATTATTGACGTTATTCCAGGCTGTACGCAAGAGCTATTTCTCATCAGAGCTGCAGTGAACTATAGAGCAAAGAATGGGAAGGAGGATACGTGGTGCTTTTTACGCTGAAAGTCTGGCTGTCTCCACCGAACACCGACTTTTGCTCTTCAGCTGCATCTTCAGGAGGGACTAGCTTCGGGACAAGCGAGCAAGCTAGCGAGCAGTAACGTTACAGGCTAGCTTCGCAGCGGAGCTAGCTTGCTAGCTAAACTGCTGCCTTATTGTGGCCCGCAACGAACCTCCCAGCTAGCATCCGTCGCATGCACAGAAAGAAAAAATGGTGCGTATGTGTTGCTTTGTTACATGTAGCCGGCTGTTTCTTGTGTTACAGTCCGATTCCTACTATGTCACATTTGTCACACTGTTGTCACATCTTGGAACAATTGTCAGAGGGCCAGGTAGCTAGCTTATCGTGCTACAAGGTTGACAGCTCCTGTCACCTGGCTGCGGTCTCTGGCATGGAGAAAACCAAACACAGCGTCTCATTAAAAGCACTTTCAAGTTATAGATATCTTATTTAATACCAAATGTCTTCACGTTGCATAGCGTGATTTGCATCCTGTTTGGAGTAAGGAGCTCCATATTGGATGATAAATAACGGTATATACATTTTGTTCCAACTAAGAGTCAACTCTTGCATTGTTACTGAACGCTGCAAACACTCTTGGTATTTTGGAGGAGGGAAAGTCACATGTAGAAGTTGGAAAACCAGTCTTCCTTCATGTTTTGAACGTGAAGTATGTTGCCTTAAAGAATATGGCTAAAGGTCATACACAGGCAGGTAGCTACAGTGTGTACTGAGTGAGCAGTGATGTCTGTCAGGACAGCTCACACACATGCAGGAATTATTTGTAATAACACTTAAAAAAAAAGACACGTCAGACTGTGGGCAGAGGAGACTATTTTTTAAGTCTCTCTTGTTTTTTTTAAGGACAGATAATGTGCACATTGCAAAGGCAGCAATCTGTATCCAACATAGAGGCGAAATACAGTAACGTCCAGTTCAGACAAATACAGGGAAAATGAAAGCAGCAAACAATACAAAAAAGTACACATGTAAACTAGGGCTGGGTATCACCACTGATGTCCTCGATTTCCATTCACAAGGTCCCGCTTAGATTCGATTTTCCCATTCAACTCAATTTAATTGGGGATATTTCAGTTATAATACCAATTTTTGCTAGAATATGAAAGAGATTCTCAGAGCACTAATACTGTAAATTTAACAAGGAATCATTTTAAAAAGAGTAGGCACAGAGTAACTAATTATATCCTAACTAAATGATGTTTCTAGAGCAGCAACAGTAATATTAAAACTGCAAAGTCACAATATAAACTCAATATCTCACTGGAAACTAAAATGTTAATAAAGTGAATCATACTCCTGAAATCACAATACTGAGTGAACTATAAGAATAAACAACTCAGACATCAGTCAGTGTCAGTCCTGTTGTCCTCTCTGCTGATGAGGAGAGTCACTGCCTGCAGGTCACATCACAGGTTAAGTTTTAAGATGCAAGACAAATTGAGCTAAACCCTGAGACATTAACATTTAATCTTGTTAGGTACAATTTGCTGTTAGCTGGAAAGCTCTGTGCTTGTTTATAACATAATACGTGTCACGGTATTACAGTTTATATTATGGTGTCAGAATGACCCTTAAAGGAATGAAAATATAAATTAAACTTGAAACCATTTTGTTAATGGAAGTATGTGTACAAAGTCTCCCTGTTTGAAAACAACTGAAATAAATGTGAGATTCTCCATTCAGTTGCATTTTTTTCCAAATTCATAGATAAGCAAATGAACATGGTATGATTACTGTCAACTCTTATAATACGTTATACCTTAAAACCAGTTTATTGCTGCAACCTTATTTGTAATTTGATTAACTGTGATTGAATTAATAATCAAATCCTGGAAAGAGTGTTTAAATTATAAACACTATATATAGTGTAATAATTGTAATAATGTACTAATTCGGTAACATCATTTTAAAAATGTAATAATAATAATAATAATTATAATTATAGATATAGTTTTCCCTTGCTTTATTCTTTTTTGTGGGACATTTCTAAACCAAGTTGCACATTGCCTTTTCCCTAATCACACCATTTTACCCAGGGTTCAAGGGTTTAAATACTTGCGAAAGACATCTGAAAGCTACGGAAGCGTATTGCATTGCAGGGTATTTTTTTCTGGTTTTTTTTGGGGGGGGGTTTTTGGTATTTTTTTTCCTGTTTTTCAGGGGATGTTCTGTTTTTGTGGTAATTTTTTTCTGTTTTTCATGGTATTTTTTTTTCTGAACGAGGAGACGAGATACTTGAAAATTTCGCGATAATCTCCCACCTGGCACCTGCAAATGACCCCTGCATCCATGGTGACTCCTGCTCACGGATGTATTTTGCATCCGTGCTCCTGCTGCTAGACAGTTTCAACTACGGGATCAATAAAGGTAAGGCACGTAATTAGTTACACACAGGGTATGATAATCGAGCTATGTTTTCGACTGCATCCTTCTAGTGTAGGCCTATCGCTCAATGTAACAGGTTAGGTTAGTAACAGGTTTTAACAACATTAGCTGACAAACGTGTATGGGCATGATTTTACAAACTGTTACTAACCTAACCTGTTACATTGAGCGATAGGCCTACACTAGAAGGATGCAGTCGAAAACATAGCTCAATTATTATATGTAACTAATTACATGCCTTACCCTTACTGATCAAAAAAAAAATACCACGAAAAACAGAAACAAATTACCACAAAAAACTAAATATTACTCAGAAAACAGGGAAAAAATTACTCAGAAAAACAGAAAAAATTACACCAAAAAACAGAAAAATAAATAAAGTACTCCGAAAAAAAGAAAAAATTACTCAGAAAAACAGGGCTTTTTTTATTTGTCAAGGGAATGCAATACGCTTCTGTAGAAAGCGGCACAAGAAAAGTGACGTTGCTCCAGGTTTCAAAGGGTGAAAGAACCTTAATCAGGCACAATACCTAATACATTGTTTACATGTCATTAGTAACCATGTAAAATCTGTAAGCAGTCATCAGATACTGACAATTCAACATAAACTACCTTTGATTTTTGTGTAATTTCAACCCTAAATTTAATTCAAATCTCTGATATTCCAGATGGCTACACACTTTCTACCACATTTTCTGGCCCATTTATTAATGCATCACTTTTTAAAGATAGAAAACTCCACAATGGTCTCTGAAATAACTTGAAACTGGCAAAAGTAATAATAAATAAAAATTTACTGAAAATCACCTAATGAAAATCAGACATTGTTTTAGAGTTCTGGTTCAACAGAATAATTTGAAAAAACAAACTAATGAAACTGGCCTGGACAAAAATGATGGTACCCTTGACTTAAAATTTTGTTGCACAACCTTTTGAGGCAATCACTGCCATCAGGCAATTTCTGTAACTCTCAATGAGACTTCTACACCTGTCGACAGGTATTTTGGCCCACTCCTCATGAGCAAACTGCTCCAGCTGTCTCAGGTTTGAATGGTGCCTTCTCAAGACTGCATGTTTCAGCTCTTTCCACAGATGTTCAATAGGATTTAGATCAGGGCTCATAGAAGGCCACTTCAGAATAGTCCAATGTTTTGTTCTCAGCCATTCTTGGGTGTTTTTAGCTGTGTGTTTTGGGTCATTATCCTGTTGAAGGACCTATGACCTGCGACTGAGATCAAGCTTTCTGACACTGGGCAGCATGTTTCGCTCCAGAATGCCTTGATAGTCTTGAGATTTCAATGCACCTTGCACAGATTCAAGACATCCTGTGCCAGATACAGCAGAGCAGCCCCAGAACATCACTCAGCCTCCTCCATGTTTTACAGTTGGTACCGTGCTCTTTTCTTTGTATGCTTCATTTTTCTATCTTTGAACAAAGAGCTGATGTGACTTGTCAAAAAGCTCCAGTTTTGTCTCTTCTGTCCAAAGGACATTCTCCCAGAAGCTTTGTGGCTTGTCAATATGCATTTTGGCAAATTCCAGTCTTGCTTTTTTATGATTTGCTTTCAACAGTGGTGTCCTCCACGTCTCCTATTCAGTCCACTTTGGCTCAAACAGCAACGGATGGTGCGATCTGAGACTGATGTACCTTGACCTTGGAGTTCACCTCTAATCTCTTTGGAAGTTGTTCTGGGCTCTTTGGTTACCATTCGTATTATCCATCTCTTCAGTTTTGTCATCAATTTTCCTCTTGCGGTCATGTCCAGGGAGGTTGGCTACAGGACCTTAAACCTCTGAATAACGTGCAGCTGTGGTCACAGGAACATCAAGCTGCTTGGAGATGGTCTTATAGCCTTTACCTTTAACATGCTTGTTTATAATTTTCTTTCTAATCTCCTGTGACAACTGCTTAGCTTTCTGTGGTCCATGTTCAGTGTAGTACACACCATGATACCAAACAGCACAGTGACTACTTTTCACCCTTTAAATAGGCAGACTGACTTACTACAAGTTTGAAGACACCTGTGATGCTAATTAAAGGACACACCTTAGTTTAACATGTCCCTATGGTCAAATTATTTTCAATCTTCTCTAGGGGTACCATCATTTTTGTCCAGGCCAGTTTCATTAGTTTGTTTTTTAAAATTATTCTGTTGAACCACAATCCTAAAGCAATGTCTGATTTTCATTAGTTCATTTTCAGTGAATTTTTTATTTATTATTACTTGTGTCAGTTTCAAGTTATTTCAGTGACCATTGTGGGTTTTTCTTTCTTTAACAGAAGGGTACCAACAATTTTGTCCACATGTGTATATCGTGCAGGATTTTCCTAAAAAAACAAACAAACAAAAAAAAACACTGTATAGACTCATATAGAGGTAATCCCCCTCAATCATCACTTCTGACCCACTGAAAGTGTTTGACGGTGTAATTTTCTGCAGACACTCTGCTCTCTGCTTGTATTTTCTTATTTTCCATGTTTGGGATGATTATGGGCGTGTAGCCCCACAGGCGAGGTCAGGGTTAGTGACCAGGTGCCAGACTGTACGCAGCAGGCATCCAATCGGCACAGCGCCAAAAAACACAAATACAGCGAGGTGAATCTAGGGCCGGCAAGCATGTTTACAAACAGTCACTGACAATCCTGCATAGTTTACCTTTAAATATTTTAGTTTAACCTAAAACAGACTTAAGTTTTGAGAGTGAATATTAGACCCAGACTGTTATGATCCATTGTTCAGGTTTTATAATGAGTACACGAGTACAGGTAAAGATTCAAAGTGTCTGTGCCTGCTAATTATTTACCACTGTTGTTAGAAATCTCTGTGACACATGAGATTAATGCCTAAATGTTGGCATGTTGTGCATTTGTCCACATGCAGGTGTACCTGTTAAATCCTATAGAGAACCTGAGAAGCTACATCAACAACCGTCCACCGCTGGTCATTTTTATGATCAGCGTCAGTGCAGTAGCCATCGCCTTCCTGACCATCGGGTATTTCTTCAAGATTAAGGAGATCAAGTCTCCAGAGTTGACAGAGGTGAGTCACACCCACACGGTTCTTTAAAAGAGATGAAATTACACAGTCTGCTCCATTAAAAACCTCTCAGGTACCAGTAAAGCGTGGGCGCCGCTGATGCTAAATGTCAGGTCGCGACCTTTGTGATGTGCTTTGTGCCACAAGGATGTATTTGCCCAAACTTTTGGAACATGTTGCATTCACGCTGTGACCTCGTCTCACCCAGTTCAGTTTGTAGGGCTAAAAGAAGCTTGTTTTAATATAACAAATACCAAATCAAGTATACATGACTGCAAAGATTAAATTGGAGAAAGTAAAAGTCAAAACAAAACCAGTCAGTGCAAAAACAGAGGGCTTCCAGTTCACAATACATGGAAATATACCTTTGCATGTGGCTCTGCATCGGAAGCATATGCAAATAAAATGAAATGGATGGATTGTAAAGGTACCAGTGGATATAGAATAAGTAGGTTGAGATTTGGGCTGCGTATGTTTGCGAGAGTGCCAAGTGGTATTGAAACTTCTCCAGTCAAAAAATACCTGCATTTGACCCATGAGAAAATGACTATTTGTATGGTTTTGTTTTCAGTCAATCACCACAAGCATTCCTCAGTTTAATGTGACGTGTGTTTGGCCCCCTGTTGCAGCAGCTACAACCCACACACAGTCTCTGGTGTAGTTAAGTTGAGCAGTGTGATTTGACAGAGTTGGCGGGTCAGCATGCCACCAAAACACTTCTTAAGTGCTGTATCGTAGGCAACTGGACTTGCTTGAGTTTCTTGCAGGCGTTTCACCTCTCATCCAAGAGGCTTCTTCAGTTCTAACAGACTGGTGTTGCAGGCTTTAAACTCTCTGCCTGTGACACCGCACCAGTCCATTAAGCCCAGTTCAGACCAAAGATTCACGATGAGACAAAACCTAGTCTGAGCTCGACTCACGCCGACTGAAGGTGTCACCTGTAACTCAGCTGGTCAAATCACCGGCAGCTGGTTTTAGAACGTAAAGCACGTCACCTGTTTCAGCAGCCAATTGGCTTGTAGTGAAGTCCGCTGGTCAAGTCAAAATGGCCGCAGACGGTGTGTTTGCTTGCTGTGCCAGGTGCTCTGTCCCTGCTGAGCCCTCTGTTTCCGTCCTCACAGTGTGCTGGTGTCGGACGTTGGGTTTTTCACCATTTCATCACTACTATAAATGCAACTGTATCCAGTATCTCACTATCACTATCCTCATTCATTTTTTAAGAGGCTACAAATTATATTCGGCCACAAAATAAACCTGAATAGCTGCAATTCAGAACCCAACTACAGAGAGTTGTTGACTAGAGATGATACACCATCTCATCTAGTTGCATTGGTGTGAACCGTCAGGTTTTTACAACGTTGCAGAACAGCGCGTTGCAAGTAGTTTCCTGTTTCAACTTCAAATCTTTGGTCTGAACTGGGCTTCAGAACTGAAGAAGCCTCTTGTATAAGAGGTGAAATGTCTTCAAGAAACTCAAGCAAATCCAGTTGCTTACGATATAGCACTTATAATTACCATGACCTAGATGACAGAATCTTCACCAACATGTCACCAACACACTTGACAGTTTAGCTTTTCTACACGCCGGTGGTGCCTGATGGCATTTTATGCAACTGAATTCTTCCATTCACATGATGGGTGTCGAACGAAGTAGAAAAAATAAAGGTATCAAAAGAAGTGATTCACTGGTATTGGCAGGGTCCCAATGTAACACCCACTTGCTTGAGTATTCTCAACATATTCTAACAGGTTCAACAACTAATACACACTTCCTCTTTCAGGACTGGAACACCTTTCTGCTGCGTTTCAATGAGCTGGACTTTTGTGTGTCAGAGAACGAAACAATAAAGCACGGTCTGAACGAGTCGACCACGCCAGAGAGCATGGTCGTGACCAGTGGCCAAGCTCGTTCCAGCACCCAGGTTCCCCTCCTGCTGGAGGACTCGGGTCCCATCAACATCTCAGTCCCCATCACCCTCACGCTGGACCCCCAGCGCCCGTTTGGAGGGTACTCTCGCAATATCACTCACCTGTACGCCACAGTGCTGGGGCAGCAAGTTGGCCTGTCTGGTAGGTTCTCTTTCTCATCATCCCTGGTTTGGGGTGGGGGTGGGGGGTCAAATAAAGCTCCTGTGTACATGTACGTACCTATTTCTGATCCACCCCTCTTCATTGTAATTCCCACAGATATCTCACACCTGTCCGCTTCCTGAAAAAAATTCACACACAACAACATTTCTTGTCACCACCAGCGTAGCCAAACGTCTAAACAAAACAGCTGTAGTTTGAAAGACATGCAATTGTACCATAAAATAAAGCCTTTATTAACCGTTTTAAAAAATAATGCCTCACTGCCACAGGTTGTGGATATATCACCTCTTTCATGCATGAATAATGACCACCACAGTCAAGATTTTTTAAATTCCTCTTTAGACAAAAACATATTCTAATACTGTTTAATGCAGTGTAAAATTGACCCTTGCTCCTGACTCCTCGGCCTCTCCCCTCTCTTTTTACTCCTCCCTCCTTCACTTATTCAGCTCCTTCCTCTTGACTGCTCAGCCCCTACACACGCCTCCCCTGTCTATCTGTAAATATTTTTAAATGAACGTTTTCCTCAAACATAATTTGTTTGTTTTTGTTACAAAAAGTGCCAGTTACATTCTAATAATGTAAATCGGTTGATTTAAAGCCAAAAAAGTTACTGCAGATGCTTTTTCAACAACAGCAAAGTTGCCAGCCATGCATGTTGGAATAGAATAGCCTTTACTGTCATTGTGTGTACAATGAAATTAAGGTGCCAGTCAGTGCAACAAGAAACAACAATAGCAATAAAAAAAATAGCAATAAAATATATATCATTAAAAATATAATAGAAAAAAATATGTACAAGAGAAAAATATGAACAAATATATATTGTCCAGTTTAGTGGACAGATGATTAATTGTAATGTTGTCCCAACATAACAACTGTAAGAGACACTTAAACACATGTTGATATTTGGTAAATAAATCTGTAAAAAGGTTATGCTATCATCTAAGTTTGCACAACCATTTCTGTATACTTTCTGTATACTATTTTCTGTATACCATTTCTATATACAGGCACAGGTTATTTACGCCAGGTGTGGTGCAATAAGGCAGTTTAGTGCGCATGACAAAAGGAGATTGTCGACTTCGTTGTGTGTAAAAGACGACACAAAGTTTGATTCGGATCGTAGTAAGTTTTTGACCGTGTCACGCAGTGTTGTAGTATAACAACAGGTAATGCATGAAAATGTATAGATATAGGACTTCGAGTTGGTAATGGACCGTACAAGATGTAAATTTGGAAGGACTTGGCTGACCTTTTTTTTTTTTTTTTTTTTTGCCTTTTTTGTATTTTCAATAAACCTCGTTCAACTTTTTACCTTCCTCGTGTGAGAACTGTGGATCTTCAGAAAAGGAACAGAAACAGGAGTCAGTCAATCTGGGCGCTACCCTCGTGCTCTTTTCTGATTCAGCTTTCAAGAGCGTATAGCGGCAGATTGCGTCTGACGTTGCTAAGCAACCTTAACAAGCAACATATAGCCTATTTACCTGAGATCCTGAGTGCAGAGCTGATCTTCTTCCAGGCGCTGTTTATAAGTGTGTAGGCCTATCGTCTGTGGGACAGATGTAAAGCTCTGGGTAGCCCTGCACCAACATGATTAACTTTTCTGTATTTATCAGACTGAATATTTACAGAAGAAGGGAAAGATATCTGTCGGCTGTGATTGGTTTGTAACCTGACTCCTGTCTGACTGCTGAGCGTGGCCACTTCCTGTGTCTGTCCTTTCAAATTAAATTCCCACATGGTCCAGTCATATACAGTCAGGTCCATAATTATTTGGACAATGATACAGTTGTTGTCATTTTGGCTCTGTACACCACCACAATGGGTTTTAAATGAAACAATGAATACCTGCTTAAAGTGCAGACTCTCAGCTTTCATTTAAGGCTTTTTTCAAAAATGTAGTATGAACCGTGTAAGAATGACAACCATTTCTTCACACAGTCCCCCGACTTTAAGGGCTCATAAGTATTTGGACAAACTAACATAATCATCAATTAAACAGTCAGTTTTAATACTTGGTTGCAAATCCTTTACAGTCAATGACTGCCTGAAGTGTTGGACACATAGGCATCATCAGATGCTGGGTTTCTTCCCTGGTGATGCTCTGCCAGCCCTTTACTGAAGCCGACTGCACTTACTGCTTGTGTTTTGGGTGTTTTACCCTCAGTTTTGGCTTCAGCAAGAGAAACGCATGCTCAGTTGGATTCAGGTCAGATGATATGACTTGGCCATTGCAGAACATTCCACTTCTTTGCCTTAAAAATGTCTTTGGTTGCTTTTGCAGTATGCTTCAGGTCAATGTCCATCTGCACTGTGAAGCATCGTCCAATGAGTTTTGAAGCATTTGGTTGAATCTGAGCAGATAATGGTGCCCCAAACATTTCAGAATTCATCCTGACGCTCTTCTCAGCAGTCACATCATCAATAAATACAAGAGAACCAGTTCCACTGGCAGCCATACATGGCCATGACATAACAGTACCTCCACCATGCTTCACTGATGAGGTGGTGTGCTTTGGGTCATGAGCAGTTCCTTCCCTTCTTCCTTCTCTTGTCTTCCCATCATTCTGGTAGTTGATCTTTGTTTTATCTGTCCATAGTATGCTGTTCCACAACTGTACAGGCTTTTTAGATGGTTTTTGACAAACTCTAATCTGGCCTTCCATTTTTAAGGCTAACCAATGGTTTGCATCTTGTGATAAACCCTCTGTATTTATTCCAGTGAAGTCTTGTCTTGCTTACAAGAGCAGCAGGATGAAAGCTGAAGTGTTTGGGGCACCATTATCTGCTCAGATTCAACCAAATGCTTCAAAACTCATTGGATGATGCTTCACAGTGCAGTTGGACATTGACCTGAAGCATATTGCAAAAGCAACCAAAGACATTTTTAAGGCAAAGAAGTGGAATGTTCTGCAATGGCCAAGTCATATCATCTGACCTGAATCCAACTGAGCATGCGTTTCTCTTGCTGAAGCCAAAACTGAGGGCAAAACACCCAAAACACAAGCAGGAAGTGCAGACGGCTACAGTAAAGGGCTGGCAGAGCATCACCAGGGAAGAAACTCAGCATCTGATGATGTCTATGGGTCCAACACTTCAGGCAGTCATTGACTGTGAAGGATTTGCAACCAAGTATTAAAACTGACTGTTTAATTGATGATTATGTTAGTTTGTCCAAATACTTATGAGCCCTTAAAGTCGGGGGACTGTGTGAAGAAATGGTTGTCATTCCTACACGGTTCATACTACATTTTTGAAAAAAGCCTTAAATGAAAGCTGAGAGTCTGCACTTTAAGCAGGTATTCATTGTTTCATTTAAAACCCATTGTGGTGGTGTACAGAGCCAAAATGACGACAACTGTATCATTGTCCAAATAATTATGGACCTGACTGTAGATGTTTATTTTCATTAAATCTGTTTCGTGCCCATAAGTGCTCTCCAACACAAACTTTGTTAGGATACGTATAATGAGTGCATTTCAACATGTTATAACACCCTAACAACAGAGAAAACTTACATCTCTGTCTCTATTTAAGGTCAGGTAGTTTTATTTATTACGGCACTTGTAGTCACTAATGTTAATCCCACTGGAATTGGCTTTATCTGTGTTTTTTGGCTGCTTCCTTTGAGGACATTCCAGCCTCCAACACCTGCTCTGTTGTGATTAACTCTGATTTGCTCTGACTATCTCTCCCTTTTCCAAATCAATATCTCGCTGTTGTTCCTGAATGTATACGACTCTCATATGCTGAATTTTCCAAAGACAGTCCTTCCCTTGTTTGTCTTCCACTTTATGTTGCTGTTATATTGTTGTTACAGGATTAGCAGCTGGCCAACAACATGTACCCTTGTCTTAAATGTGAAAGCCACTAGACTGGTTGAACAAAGTCAATACGGGGCTATGCAAATGTTTTGTTGCACCGAGCAAACAGTCCTGTGTAAATTCACAGGAGGTGAACAGAGTGTACCAGGACATGTCGACTTCCTCTTTTCAAGGAACCTCGCAAAGTCAATTAATTGTTCATAACAGCTTTTCTTCAATTATAGTAGATATTAGTAGTAGTAGTAAAATTATAATAGTATTTAAAAAAGTATTGTGTATGAATATGTATACATTTTTTTTGTTAAACAGACCAGCATATACTGCAAGACTTGATTGATTTTGGGGGGAAAGGCAATGAGCTACTTGGTAGGAAATGTTCCTCAAATTGCCAAAAAAATAAATAAATAAAGAAAAAACCTAGAGGAAAAAAAAAACTGTATTTATTGTTCTCTTTTAAAATTATGTTACAGAATTATATATAATATAATTATTAAATATAAATAAATATAATTTTATTAAATATAATTATAATTTTTAATTGCTTATTCCAGGTCATTTCCTTCTGTTTGTTTTTAACTTTCTTCATTTCTTTTTACTAATTTTCTTGTTTCTAATTTTGCTCTTTTTACTAACTTTTTACTTTTGCTAATTTTTTTGGGTCATTTCTTCTTTCGTTGCTCATTGCCTTCTTCCCACGTTTTTGAAAGAAATCAAGCTAATGTGCTCAGGTTTCAGAGGGTCAACCAAGATTTCGCAGCATTGCTGAAACAAGGCATTGCATACAAGACTTGGTGTGTTTTATGCAAAAAAAGAATTCAACCTCAGCAAGGTGGAAATCAAGGCAGTGGATTCCCACATGCATTGTGAGAAACATGAAATTGCCAAGAAAACCCGCCAATAAACGGCAGGTGTTTCCCAATTCTGTTCTGCTCTCATCTCCGTCATGAGACAAGTCATTTTATGTTACAACATTGTTCCTAATCTCAAGTAATTGGTGTCACTTCATGTTTTTTTCCTTCAATTTTCATTATTTTAAAATTGGAATTAAATTTTATTCCAAGTGTCGTCAAAAAGGGGTGTGCCGTATCATCTCGCTCATAATAATACTGGTATAATTTTTAATATGATGATAATATGAAAAATTCATATTGTGATACTCGTAATATTTCAACTTCTCGACATATTGATGTCATACTGAGCGACAAGCATGACTGAAAGCGAAATTATTACCGACTCCGCTGTGGTTCCAAAAAGAGGAGCAGCTTCAGTAGTGTAGAATAAACTGTGGTGTCCTGAATGTTTTATGAACAGCCCCGGACTTCAGCGGCTCCTCTGGCAGCAGCACAGCATCTCTCCCTCTCCTCTCTCACCGTGCGCACACGGGAGTCTGTGTTAAGTGATTTTATCATAAACCTTTAGTAATGTAAACCTACGTGACGCTCGCGGCTCGACAAAAAACTACATATGTCAGACTGTGTGATAGTTGTGGTATCATAACAGCCAGTCACAGGTTACAGCCTGATGATTAGAGGAGAAATGGCAGAGCATAAAGGTCCAGGTGGAAAAAAACAACAACAACTCAATCATTTAGGATTTTACTATAAGAAGGAAATCACCTGTTGTTTTATATGTATAGATCCCAGGGGACATGTTTTGTATTTGGGAGCTGTTTAAATGTGTAATTTGTGGTAGATTTTATTTTGTTGAACTATTAATATTGTAACAGAATCTGAATCTCACTCTGAGTTACTGTTGTTGTTCACAAACTAAAGAAATGAGAGATCATTTTAGTTTTTACTGAATATTTGAAGGCAAACTGTAAAACTATCACTTATTTTGATGCAATTCTATGTTCGAGAGTTAATAACACTTTTTTTTAACTAATTTGTCATATCGTCAAGAATATCATTACCGCAAATATACCATGAAATATCATTTTATTATTTTAGGGCCATATCACCCTCCTCTAGTAGGAACCCCTTGGTCATAGTCAAATCTTTACAATTAACAGGAATCACAGTTTATCTGTAAACTTTGTAAACGCAGCAAGAAACCTAATAAATACCACACATTAAATAAATATACAAAAATTCTTAGCAAAAATTTTGTCCAAATAGAGATTTGAGTTGCAGCTCAAACTGTAAACGTAGAATTGAAAAGGAAAGATCAATCCTATTGTTATCGATCAGTCTAGGAATGTATGATATTGGATTTGTTTCCGATATCTGATATGCTGACTCATTTGACCGATTACTGATATTGATATCGATGTATCCACTTTTTTCCCCACCTAATTTTAGTGATTATCAGGTCTCTTCTGTAGTGGAATTAACATCATATTATGCAGGCATACTGCAGATGGAGACATACAATATAATGCTTTTCATTGTATATAATATTCATTCATTCTGCAAAACAAGAAAAAGTGTGTTGGCCAATTCTGATTCATTTTAAAGCCGATATTGGACAGTGACGTACCGATATTATCAGCATGTTGGCCGATTACGATATTTCATTTTAAAGCCAATATTGGTCGATATAGATGACTTGCCGATATTATCGTGCATCCCTAGATCAGTCAGTGTCGGTCCAATATCAGTATCAGATTGGCACATCCCTAATATATTGTATATTAAAAATTATTTTGACACTGGGGTAGCTTTTCTGTGTAAATGTTCATCTTGATTCATGCTTGTTTAAAGTTTTCTAATACTTTTAAGTCTACATCCTTTATGTTATGTGTTGAAAGTAAACCAACACCTCCTCATTTTCCAAAATTTCCTTAGGATGTGCACTTGTGTTAACACAACCACATCTATCCTCAGTCACACCCAGGAGTCCACTCAGTTTGACTGATAATCTTCTAATCCCCTTTGCAGTTTGATAAATATTGCATACGCCTGCAAAATCAGCCTATCATTCGTTATCAGGGGAGTAGCTTGGTATGATATCAAATAGTGCTGCTTTGGCTCTGTTTGGTTTCCCGCTGTAGGAGTTGTATGCGTGCTGTTTAGCCTGTTCTGGGCTCTAATAATTGCCTCAGAGCTAAGAGGCACCTCTCTTTAAAGCCTGATTTCGCAGGTCATTATTCTCATGTCAATAAAAACAAAGAGGGGAATGTAGATATGCAGGTTACATGCCTGTGAATTGTGCTCATCGATGAGTTTCGTAGAAATGTAGCTCTGCCTAAAAGCAACAAACTCACAGTAAGATTTTTCTCTCATGTTAATTTCCTAAGAATCTGAAATGCTCTCATTGTATTTTCACATGTTTTTGTGTGTAGGCCGAGAAGCCCATGAAGAAATAAACATCACTTTCACCCTGCCTGTATCCTGGAACTCAGACGAGTGTGTACTGCACGGCCACTGCGAGCAGGTGGTGTTCAGCACTTGCATGACCATCACAGCGGCCAGCAATATCTTCCCAGTCACAGTGTGAGTTGGACTGCCTCCCTGACTCATCGGGACACACTTTATATCTCTGCCGAGAGCTGGGCAACACTGAAAAAATGAAATACAGTATCCCAAAGTTTTTGACTCAATACCTTCATATCATTTGTGACAATATTTTGTGCTTTTGAACAATGTCTAGTCATAGCAGTTGGTGATATGGTCTGGTTGGTGATATTTTTAGATCGATCACCTACACCTGGCGCACTGCTATTTGGATGGTAGATTCGGCAAATTGGAGGAGTGAGCAGTTTTCTACAAAGAGTCATGCAGTAAGAGCAGCAATGTCACTGCAGCACATTTAAGCAGCAAAACTAGAAATTGTATTGATAAGCTTGGCAGTGGAAACAGAACATAACTTTTAGCTTCCGAAATAAATAATGAACTACTACTGCTGCTATTACTGACACAGTGTGTACGCTGGTTGTGAAAGTGACAACTGCATCAGAATGAAACAAGCAATCAAATTGCTGCGCTGGGTGTACAACCCAGACACACTAAACCTACTTTGGAGGACTAGCAGCAACGGAAGCCAACTGTTGCATCACATTGTGTTGCCTGTGTCCTAGCCAAAAAGTTGCAAATGAACACACCGCAAAGACTACGGCCAACAGTCAACCAGCACGTATGTTCTTTGCCTGCATGAGAGGAAATAACTCTCCGCACCAGCTGACAGTGGTAGTCTGTAATCGTCATTCAAAAAAGGGAAACCAGAAGGTTGTCTTGATACTAATTAGCCATTTAGCACATTAACAACACAATCCAATGTTAAAAGAACAGAGATATTTACCGTGTGCCAGTGAACAATAACACAAGCAGTAATGAAAGGTTTCTGCTAAAGAGCTCAATGGCTATAGAAAAATAATTTTACCTTTTTTCTCACTCCCTCGACTTTAGCTGTTTACTTTCCTCACTTCCGTTTCTCTTCTTGTGCGCTGAGCTAAACTGCCTTTAAGAGTGATTTCATTCACCGATGGGCTCTGCTGTTTCACCTGACGATTCAACATGCCAAATCAGTCATAAAAAAGCAGATGAGGGCCAACGGCCTAACATTGACGGATGGCAGTTTGCTTGATGTTTCAGGGCTTTAAGATTGGGCCCACAGTGATTTTTTTTCCCTTGGGGTCAGATTTCAGATATCATTTTCTGCAGTCATAACCAACATAATGTGAAGCATTCAATGACAGCAGTCAACAGACATTGCTCTTTGTTTTGGTTTGTAGGCAGCCGCCACACTGCGTGCCAGAGACATACACCAATGCCACATCTTGGTACAAGGTGTTCACCACAGTCCGCGACTCTGATACCAAGTACAGTCAGGACTACAACCCCTTCTGGTGTTACAAAGGAGCCATCGGCAAGGTGTACCACGCACTCAACCCAAAGCTTACTGTCATCGTTCCTGATGTGAGTTACCGCCCGCCTTTTTTTCTACAACAATTATTATCAGGCTGACAGGTTTTATTTTACAGACTTCCTGGTCCTAGTGTGTAATGTTGTTATTCCCATGTCTAAGTTAACGTTCACAGGGGGTAATTAATCCAAATGATCATTATGCAGGTGAAGGACTCCATTAAGTTCGATCCAAGAAAGTAATAAACTGCACACCTACTGAGATGCACCCTATGATATGTAGGACTGTAAATGCCAAACCTGCAGTTACTCTGATATTTATTAATGTCTTTTAAACTCTTTCCCACCAGGACGACCGTTCCCTCATCAACCTGCACCTGATGCACACGAGCTACTTCCTGTTTGTCATGGTCATCACTATGTTCTGCTATGCAGTCATCAAGGGGCGGCCTGGCAAAGTACGGCAAACCAACCCCGACTTCTGCCCTGAGAAGGTACAACAGACACCAGCAGTGCTATATGACGAGAACAGGTAGCTCCAGCAAAGCATTGATGACCAGTGATCAGTCAAAGACATGATCCAATCACTCTGCTGACTCTCTAACTGTCCAAAATATGTGGACTTCTCTGTGTAATTGTTTCTTGGCACATTCATTCTATAGTATCACATATTGACACTACCCTTAATACTACATCAACATAATTGCTAATTATTCTTTGACTAGTTATGATTAAAGTGATTATAGCTGATGTGTTCGTATCGCCACACAAAAGCCATAAACTCTGGCAGCACATTGTTACGTGCTCCTCGATGTGGCTGATTCATGCGTAATTGCATGTTGTTCCAAGCGATAAAGGAAGATTGTCCTCTTCAGTCTTAATGCTTGCTGTGGCCCAATACACACAACACCTTCTATCAGCCACTGTAGAGGAGCCAGCTCACACAAGTTCGGGGATTCACAGTGTTAAGATAGGTCATCAGGCTGTGACTCATCGTCTGAGTCAGGCCCAGCAGATAGTTTTGAGTGTCACACTGTGTGAATAACAGAGCAAATTATGCCATTTTCAATACAGGCAGGTGGGGGTAGGGCAAAGCTGAAGCTCTGCAGTTCATCTCAAAGAACAGCTCCACGAATTAAGCTCCGCTCACTCGGTAATATCACTTTTCATTTTCCCTAGCTGCTTCACAATAAAAGCCGTCTGCTTATATGCTCAATGGTAGAGTTGGATCAATTTCTGGTTTTGCCAGCGTGGTTAAACTGGTTTGATTTTAGGTAAACTGGCTGAACTGGCTTTCATCCATATGACACATTCTGGCAACTTTACAACTAGCCTACATTAGCAACCTATGCTGATGGCTGCACAGTGCTAAATCCAACTTGTATTGCATTAGTAATAAGCAATATGACAATTTGATTAACATTATACTGTATTTGTTTATAAACTGACGAACAGAGTCACAAGTGTCTGACAGGCCATGTAGCGTTTACTGCCGAGCCGAGTCCAGCAACTCAAAGGAGATCAAATTTCACTAAAGGTGGCAGGCGGGGACATGCACACGCTACAGGTTCACTAGAAAGTTCTCGTGTTTTATGGGGTAGTAGGAAGAGACATGGCAGTTAGTCTTAGAAAATAAAACAGCGCCAATATGGCAACATTTTAAATTGGAAGCCAACTAAAGGGGTGAGCTGAAAAACAGATGAGGCAAGTGTGTCAGTCATCCTGCTGATGGTAGCACTGCTTCACTCACTGCCTCTTCTAGGTTCTCAGTGTTTATTGATAATTGGCAAACCAGTATAGAGGTGCATTACTGCCACCTATTGGACTGGAGTCTCTACACTCTCAGTCATTGGCTCTCTCAAGCCCCCTTTACCAGTAGATCGCACTACAAAGTCCCTCCTTAATGCCGTCTTTGCATTTTTACACAGGACCAAACAACGGCAGCATCATGCCACTCCAGCATGTGATCTTAGACCACATACAGGCATCCCTGAATTAAACGAGGTGTGACAGGCGTGACAAGTCATGCCACAGCATCGGCCTCTAGGGTGACATAAACATACGTTGGCAGCTCTTTACAAACAATAACAATGGCAAAACATGGCAAAAAGGGTAAGGAGCTCTCGAATGTCATCATTTTCCCAATTTGCAGACATTTACCGTAGCTATTGTTTTTCTTTGAGTTAGCCGCTAACTGCTAATAACTACTTTAAAAATCTCCTGTGGTGGGTCACGCACACAGCACGTTGTCAAAACGTTACACCTGTGCTGCTCATGGTCCTGTCCTGCCCGTTTCGGCACTGCTACTACGACAACTCTGTCCCCCCATTCAGCCATCATACCTATATACAGAACAAGAAGGCGGCATTATGCCGCGATATTGACACCTTGAACAGGCAGTGTAAAAGGGGCTTAAGTCTCATTAAGTTCCACATGGGATCAGCTGCAGAGTAAAGTGTGACACCTGGTGGTAAATTTGGTGTATTGATCTGATCCGGTGTTTGGATCAAAATCAAACCAGTCTGAATGTTTTTTTTTTTCCCCTGTGCAACACTACTGGGTGGGAACTTTTAATGTGATGCAGCAGCAGGAAATGTTGGGTTTGCGTCAGCAATAGCTTAACTTAGAGCTGCTATTGGCTGAAATCGAGCAGATGTTAGCTACACAGAGCTAAATTTGGGATAATGAAACGTCTGGGTTGAGATGCTCTTTAATAGTGACATTTTAGAGGCTTTACTCTTCAGTTGATTGCAAAAAATGATTTTAATGATTTCTTCACAGCAGTGGCTTCTTCATTACTTACTGAAGAGACCTAGAGTTCCTATGCGCTGTTAAGTTTTAAGATTTGAAATATTGTATTGAGTCACCATTTTAATAGTAATATCAAGAATGACACTTTTGCAGACAGCACTGCACGCTGTTGTAAACACAGTAGCTTCTTGGGTCAAAATTACCTCACGAAATCTGATCAAACTTAAAGAATCTTTTCTGTCACCTTCTATTCATCTAATTTACTGCTCCTGTCTTTATTATGTGTGTGTTGTTTCAATGAAGGATGTATAGCCCTGTTTCCACTTTCAGTATGGTACCTTTTGAACCAGAAGTAACCCTTCAGACATGGTACCTAGACCCTAGAGCGTTTCCACTGCAAACCATTCCCTTAAATGTGGGCGGGATTGTTGTCACTCCCTGCTCCGTCCAGCACTCGCTACCGGTGACACAGATGGAAGTCTGCACCTGGTTTATCGTCCACAGAACGAGGCTGCACGCCAACATTTTCACGCCACAGCTCCACCTCCACCAGATCTGTGTGCTAGGTACCCCAACAGAGGGGGGACCAAAAATGGGGACAGTACAGAATGGGTCCATTGGTACCATCCACAACTTTTCACAGTGGAAACGGGAAAAAAAAGTGTCCTGAACTGAACTGAACCATACTGCTCAGTGGAAACGGGGCTTAAGATGATTTACCTGCATGCAGTAATTCCTGTTATGAGTTTGTAATCTGCACTAAAACCCATTTCTTGTGTTGCAGGTGGCATTGTCAGAGGGTTAAAAAGACATCAGAGAGCTATGTCAGAACTTACCTGTAACATGGACAAACTCAAAGAAACAGAAGAAATATAAATAAACATACCAGTTGCCTAGTGAACCCTGGAAATAAATAAGGGACACAAAAGCTCTGTGAATGCATTACTCTTGCAATGTTGGGTTTTTCCAACCAAAGATATACAAGTGCCTGTATCTGTCGTGTAAATATTTGTAGGAACTCTGATATTCTGTGCAAAACCTTTTTTTTTTCTCTCTCTTTGTTTATTATTATTTTTGCCTGAGTCCCCTTGTGCCATGTCAGAACATGCAGTACATAAACACGGCAGAAGGCCAGATCCAAGAACAACACAGCCATTTTTCTAGCAGTCATTCGGCCTCATCTACCAAGTAAAAAAGAAAAACCACAGAGTAGCAGGTCACAAGAAACGTTGGCATTTATCAGAGTTTAGTTATGAGTTGAGCGTGTTGTGTTTGGATATCTCCGAACCGTCTGTAAACAAAGTATTTTTTATCTCCCATGATGAGAAAACATGATGTTTAGTCACTTGAAATGTGTTTAAGTGCACTAAACATGCTTGACTACTCAGGTCGAGATAAATGCTCGAGGATAAGATGCTTGCAACACATTTATAATTAAATCTTCAATATGCACTTGTCACTGCAGCTTCAACAGGGAAGGGAATGAATTTGGCACTTTTCTCTGCACCAGGCCCAACAAACAGTGTAATTAAACGTCTGATCAGAATTTGGACATCGCATTAAATCTGTTCAAACGTAGGAATTAAATAACAGTTCAGTGTGCAGGATTTAAGGAGAAAAATTGGCAGAAATGGAATATAGTATAATAAGTATGTTTTCTTTAGTGTGTAATCACCTAAAAATAGAAATCAGCGTGTTTTCGTTACCTCAGAATGAGCTGTTAATATCTAGAGGGAGCAGATCTTCATCCACAGAGATCACCATGTTGGTTCTACAGTAGCCCAGAACAGACAGACCAAACACTGACTCTTGTAGGGCTGCCTCAGACTAAGAATTTTCCTAGTCAACCAATAATGGTCATTTAGGGCCATTAGTAGACTAGTCGCCCTCATGTTTACGATATTAATTTCATAGAGAAATACAAAAGCGTACTAATGAACCTTCATTAATATAGGCCTATATTTTATCTACAAGTGCACGTCACACACTGAGCGAGCCGCCTGTTAATGACGCTGTGGGCTAATGGGCATGTGGCTACTTCCATGTTTCAGAGTTTCAGATGATACGTCATGTTTGTAGTCGACCAATGAAGATGAGTTTACATATCACCTTGGGTTCGTCCTTCACCTTCTCAAAATGATCCCACACTTTGGATTTCCTGCCCGACATGTTATTAACTAGCCTGTGGAATAACAGCAGGTACCAGCCCTGGAAATTAACCTGACTCCTGTCTGACTGCTGAGCGTGGACACTTCCTGTGTCTGTCCTTTTAAATTAAATTCCCACATGGTCCACTCCTATACGTTTTGATTTATTTTGACGAGACGCAGCTCCTGATAGAGTTTCTGACTAATGACCTTTCTGGACTATTAGGGGGCAGCCGTAGACTCTAGAAAGGGGTATTTGCGTTTTTAAGTCAGCTACCATAATTAGCAGCCCCTCCGCAGTGGGTGCGCCGGAAAAACACTGATTGTTTTAACGTGAAACTGCTTTATTCTGCGCTTTTAGCTGTTTAGACCTCTGCAAATAATTTATCTCCCGGTAAATCTCCTGAACGTCTGGATTTTAAGTTATCAGGAAAAAAAAGAACACATATTAGAAGCTGCTAGGCTAGCGGCATGTCTCCGGCATGCCAAATAGTGTCGGAGAAACGCTGATTTGTAACATGAAACTGCTTTATTCAGTGTTTTTACCGGTTTAAATCGCCTGGTCGGTTTGTTTTGGAGAGAAAGAGACCTCTGTGGATAATTGGCTCCCGTTAAAAACCTCCTGACCAATAAACACTGAAGGAATTCTAAGCAGGAGAAGTTTCAGCTGCTTGCAAAGTGCAGTCCTCACCACTAGATGCCACTAAATCCCCCTAAATCTTACACATTGAACCTTTAATAGAACTCCCAGTTATATAAGCTCTGTCCCAGATTATCAGCTATGTTCCCTGTTTGTCTGCAGTGTCAGTAAAGGTGGATTAAAGTATTTAGATGATTGCACTGTGCACATTAATATATAAACAGAACACAACACCAACAGTAAAGTTAATGAGCCCCATTGTCTCGGTTTGTCTCCTATTAGGCTTATCAGTAAGTCCACTTTAATGGCAGTTAAATAAGCTGTGGAACTTCCTGTGGTCCGTGTTGAAAATTGTTTTTGTTTTTTACTTTAAGACAAATAGATGTTGTCACACTTAAACAATGTGATTTTTCTGCCTTTTGTTTTCCTTCCTCTGTGGCTTCATCACTCACCTGCCTCTTGTTTTATTTTGTTTTTTAATTTGCTGCCTGTCGCTCTGCAGCAGTTTTGTAGTTTTGGCTTCGACACTAAATGTTCAGTACTTCTTTGTTGCACCTGGATGAAGCGAAACATTATCTTGCCTTACCTACGGTGGACTTGCTTGCTTGAAAACAGACGGAGGAGATCGTCTTCTCTCCTTCCAACATTAACTTGCCGGTCCCTTCTTCCACAGCCATGCTTCTCTTTTTGTTTCCTATGATGAGCCTGTGGTTTGAAATCAAACTTGTGATTTTTGTCCTATTAATGTAAATGTCAAGTGGCCCTGGAGTCATTATATTTTAGGATGCTTTTGAATTACTTGTGCTTTAATTTTTAAGTGAATCATTATCAGTTGCACGTGTTCATGTGTTTGCATAGTTAGTGCACCTTTTAGATTTCTTGCACATTTTGTTTTTATTTGCTCCTGTGATTATTTTTTATTTTGTCCAAGGTCACATGTAAACAATCTGATATTGAACTATATAAACTTTGTTTCAGTTTGACGGCTTCTAAAAATAAATATAATTATATATTAGTATATAATTATATTTGTATAACTATGGTAATATATTTATGATTAAATCATTTAATTTTTATTATTTTGTAGGACAACAAAAACGTGCAAAAACTTGCTTGGTGTGCAAAATGTGTGTAAGTGAGTTTGGGAAATGTTTAGATAAATAAAGGCGGCCTTAGACTGTGATTATCTGAAAACGCCCGGTATTGACAGGATACACTGTAGAAAAAAAAGTTAAATTATCAAATGCTTTTAGAGGCTGCTGCTAAACAAAATGTTTAAAAATTAAAGTAGTGCAAAACCAATAAATTTACAAACATTTTTCTTAAAGCTTTTACGTAGAAATACCCTCTTTTTTTTTTAAAGAGTTTTATTTTACAGGTAAATTATTAAGATTAGGCATCTTCAATATAATGATGGCATTAAAAGTTTTACAGAAACACACTTACTTTACATTTTTATCCTGAATTTTAACGATTAAATACCTTCAGTGAAGTGAAACACGGTCAAATGACCGACCAAACTGCAAAATTTAGTACATTTCCCTGAATTTTTGTGACTCATGTTGTGCTGAAACCAACTGTAGCTTTAAGAATTTATGCTTTCCATCATTCATATTTTGAGACTTTGACAATCATTTATTTTAAATGTACTGAATTATATTCGCAAACTGCTCTAATTAGATTGCTGTTGATGTTTAAATTTTGAGTCACCGACCACTACCTGCTGTGCTGTTTTGACACAAATATAAAATCTATTAATTATTAAATTTGTCAGATCATTGCTTGGAGCAGACGCCGTGTTAAATCCAAACCTCCCAAGAGAATAAAAACAGTCTAAGTCCACCTTTAACGCCTGTTATGTACGACTTTTTTTCAATAGCAATTACTGATAGATTTTACTTACCTCTATGTTATAATTTTGTTCCATAATTGATGTACCTGTTGAATGTACTTTTTTATATAAGCAGCATAATCTAAATCTGAGATGCAAGAATTCCAAGTGATTTTAAACTATGATGTAGTTTTTTCAGTTTTAAAAGGCTTTACTTGAATTGTGTTTTTGTTTCGAGTGGTATTCATATATTATAAGGTTTATCCTTTTCGTGGCAGAAATGAATCTCGTCACATTATTGTATCGAACACTTTGTACATATATTGTTTGATTTCCGTGTGTTCCTTGGCGAACGAGTGGAAGGTTGTTGATACCTTTTTCTTTCCATATTGAATGATGCTAGGACAAGTCTTCCTAATTCTGATGTGTATCATATTTGAGCATGGATCTGCTGCTTCTATTGTCATCACTTGCTCCTGTGCTTTCACACTGGGGCTCATGCTTTTCTTTTATTTTGGAAGATCTGGCAGCTCTTATTGGACGGTTGGAAATTTTGAGTGTTGGCTGGGGTGCGGGTGAGGTTTGGCAGGGTGTGTGTGAGTGATGAGGAGTTGAAGATGTGAACGAAGCATGCCGTTTTCTTGCCAAACCATCACAGTTAACGTTGGTGACTCGCATTTCCCTGCTTCTTATCCCTCCTTTTGTGATTTATTTTGTTCATCTTTGGTTAGATTGCATCACTATAATTGCGAAATGCCTTAACATTGTACAGTTTCATTTAAGTTTTCTTTCTTTCACATATCATATATTGTAAAACACACCAGCTTTACAGAAATAAAACCCAAGCAATGCTCATTTTATCACGTGGGAGCTACGAGAGGCTCACATTACCGTGCTTGTTAAGTGTACATTTAGAGAAATGGGTTTGAAAAAGGAGCAGATGCTTGGCTGTTGGTGGTTTTTCAACTACTCCACTATATCACTACAGACTGGAGTAAAAACAGAGGAGCCATGGTCTCCTGAGTTGCATCATCTCTCAGCGTTCTGGGCTTGACATTAAGCAAAACACACGAGTCTCCGATATAAGGCTGCCATTTCACCTCGTTATCCTTTCTGTCATGTTCGCAGCGCTTACAGGCAAGTATTAAGCCAACTCTGTGCCTTCTGCACTATCGAGCTGCATCCTCCTCCCTGTACATACAGTAGATAGGACCGTAGGTTTAATGTGGCTAGGACGTCATTCGAACCCTTTTCCTCTCCAGTGGAACTGCTGTAAATGAATCCAAGTTTAAATAAACCGTCTCTAAAGTTCAACA